GGCGCATCGACCAATGATATCAACATGTAGAGTGAAAAGAAGAGTTATCTTTGTATCACGTCACTAAATAAACAATTGTAATACGTTCTAAACAACTGAAGGATATATGAGGTCGATATTTCTTCTGTAACTGTCTTTGGACGTAATATACGTCTCCGGGACTCAAAGGGTTAATTCAAAAAGAAAAGGAATACTTGATACAATGCTGTATACTCGTCAGCAATCGACCACCCGGAGTACTGCTGAGAGTACAATAAAATCAACTTCACTTTGTAAGTTTATGTATATGGTTTCGGAGATTTCAACGTTCGGGTAGAACGGGTTGACAATAGACCGGCGTACTAACCTCTTTACAGATATGCTTCTTTTTTTTGTTCGATCCGTATAGTGATGAGCCATAATCATCGCCAACGGCATAACTGCGCAACATATCTGCCCCACTATCTAGAAATTTTTGGATTGATGGAGTATGTAGCTTGATCGGCTCCCCTTGGACGAGCACAAAAAAATGTGCACATTCCCTAGCGTAGGTTGACTAAGGAGTCGAACAGGCAGAAAAGAGAAAGGATCGGAAAAAGGTGTAGATATCGAGAATAAACGATGCGATCAAGAAGCATACAATGAATGATACGGTGAGAAAAGCTTAGTCCTTCTATCAGTCGTTTTTTTCCTTACGTTGGCCATGTGTCTTGATCTACGTATTAACAATCTATTCTTAGCTAGAAGAATATGATGAGGACAAAAATAACGCACTACTGCTTAATTGTCTTACGATCACCTATCTAAGTGTATTGCGCATCTGCAGAGAAACAAGGTCATTGGATACTGCCGAAATATAGTGAAGGATCAACATAGAAGAAACTCATGGTCTCGAGGTGAGACAAGGTGAAATATCCGCAAATAAGCAACGTGCTTCCCGGTCAAAGTTATGCTGTGCCAGGAAGTTTTATCCAAAATCTGTGAGAGTGGAATATTCAGGTGATCTTGGATAAATTTGAAAAGCCTATACCGGTTTACAGATGCGATTGACATCAGTGCGGCTGAAAACGCCTTTCCATAGTCCATATCAGTATAAAGTCCAATCATTCTACGGGAGACTCAGTCTTACATAATTTCTTGCGCTGCTGAGGCAGAGGGTCCGATGTAAAGTTGTGACGAGAACTATGAATTGAGACACCGATAGAAGCGCCTGCTTTTCTAATCGGAAACTTTCCTTTTCAGCTCATACAAAGATACCATCGCCGGAGAAGCCAACATGTCTTTTTTGAATAGTCAATGCGCTTCCAAGAAGATGCTCCTTGATAGAGCCCAACATTCTCTCCATTGCATCTGCTAATTCTATACAGCTAACTATCTCGGTGGCTATTTCTACCGCGCCTGTAGCATCATCCAGACGCTAGATGAAAACATCTCAATAGTATCAAGATCAGATAGATTTTCATGCTCAGGAAATTTCTATATATAGAGTCTTTGATAATGATGTTTTTGTCATCACAATGGTTTGCATATCGATTTTGAGACTGTAAGATGATGAAGAGATAGTGCACATCGGAATAAGTAAAGTGGTTCCAAGAGGAGAATTCCCCTACTAAGAATAGAATGAACAGAAAGTTATAGAAACGGACTGTGATCAGAATCACATTTTGAATTAACCCTTTGAGTCCGAAACCATATACATAAACTTACAAAGTGAAGTTGATTTTATTGTACTCTCAGCAGTACTCCGGGTGGTCGATTGCTGACGAGTATGCAGCATTGTATCAAGTATTCCTTTTCTTTTTGAATTAACCCTTTGAGTCCCGGAGACGTATATTACGTCCAAAGACAGTTACAGAAGAAATATCGACCTCATATATCCTTCAGTTGTTTAGAACGTATTACAATTGTTTATTTGGTGACGTCTCAAGTCGAACATCAGATAGATGAAAGAAGATATCGCCGTGAATTTTGCAAATTGCGAAGGCGTTGCATACGGCCATATCCAAACGATGAAAGAAAACCTTCCTATATCATTTTGTCGATTTTCGGAGACATTTTGAGAACGACACGCATGTCAGCTTGAAATGTGCGACTATTATCCAAAGTCAAGCCAAATCAAGCCATCCACTGGTACACTCGAGAGAGCTGTCAAAGCAACTGCTTCGTTTTTTATCTCTTCATGAGCAAATGCTGTCACGAATAAGGTTCTATTTACAATTTTGAAGTGAAAGAATAAATTGCTTCCATCAAAAAAATCCATAGAAAGTGTTCAGGCAGTTGTTCTTGCCAGATTTGTTCGTTGTGTGATATTGCTTGCAGCTGCCATCGTTTGTTTTTGCCGAATAATTTTTCCTTTTACATTTCGACGTTTTTGTACTTCTCTCAATGCCGGTCATTGTTTATTTATTGTATTTCTGTCCATTTCCATAGTGAAAACCTATATTAGGTAAAATATCTCATTTTTGCTATTTTTGAGTAAAGTCAAAAGAGTTATAACCCAGTCCCAATCCATCCAAATTATGTCAGAATATTAAGATGTACTCTATTTTACCTTCTCCAAATGACTTTTTACTTGAGTATAGTAAGAAGCTCTTACTTTGGAGGATTTCTAGAAAACCTCAAAACCAAAGTATTTTCTATGGATTTTTAAAACTTCTGTTCAACTGCACAGTATTGAGGAGGTAAATTAGAATACATCTTGATATTCTGACAAACTATGTTTTCATGCATTTCTGATAGTCTAAACCTACCCCAGAGAACGTACTTGATTCCTTGCTAAGTACTTGTCAATGATTGAAATACTTGCCTTATTGCAAAGTACTTTCTGAAAGTACTTGGCAAGTAAGGACAAGTACTTACAAGTAAATTTACTTCTTGAAAAAAGGCAAGTACCGGCTTCATTACGCAGACGAAGTACTCGGTCCAAGTACTTGGCCCCAAGTACGTTCTCTAGGGTAACGACAGAGAAGTCCAAAGGCTTCGGGAAAAAGGTCCATGCTGCCCGAATCAAGCAAAACCAAACTTTTGTTTATATCTTATATTGTAGAGGATACTTTGGACTATCCATTTTCGAAAACAGAACGATAGATTACTCTGCCGGTTTCTAGAAATCCCAGCTGATTTTCCAAAGATTTAGTAGAAAACAGACCTTTCGAATGTTTTCGAAAGACGATTTTTTCTTACGAGAATATAGCTCAAAGTGTTATTTTTCTATTGCTGAACTAGCATATCTCTGTCTTTTATTGTTTTTGAGTTATTCAAAACACAACTGAGTGCACTATATTTTTGGATGGATAGTAATAGTCAGTGCTTGTTTAATTTGTTAGGAAAGACGTTTTATTGCCTTCGTCAGCCCTTATAAGAAGTCAAAACTTTCTAGCGACGATAATTGATCAGATCTTCCAAAATGCGGGAACTCGAACCTAAATAGTGAATTTTTTAGTTTTAAGTGAACACAGTCTGAAAACCCTGATTTTCGTAAAACTGGGCTTTTAAGTAGATTTTTAAAATTTTTGCTAAAGTCAAATATTGCCATGTTCATATCCATAGTCCATACGTCTTTGAGGCTACCAATAGTTATCTGATGCCAGTTCTGGGATCCGCAGAAAATCCGATACAACGCCCGAACCGCGGAAAATCATGGTCTCGCTTTACTCCTGTTTTGAAGAGGCTATCAGCACGAGAAGAAGAAGTAATACAATCCTACTGGGAAATGTTTACAGACAGTGTAGTTTTTCAAAGCTCTTTTAGAAAACCTGTTTCAGAATACTCTTCTGAAAATAATTTTGGTTACGAAACATGCCTCCAAGTCTCCTCTTTCTAACGATGAAAACCGCAGGTCTCCATCTTTTATTCTCTTTGGGTTATTCAAAAAATAATTACCTGCCTTTATGACTTTCTTTTCATTGCTAACTGTATCGTGTAATCGGATCAAACCCGATGTATCTAGCTAACCCTATATTTTTTACTCTTTTATCTAGATACTCTTGCTGGAGAATCGGGTGATACTCCAGCGAGCGTATCTAGATTTTTTTTCTTACATTTTCGTGCTTGAGTTTGAATCGAGTGTCTCTATTTACCTCAAGCATACAAGTGATGTGTCTCTAATTACCCCGTACGGGGTAATTAGAGACACTTTGATAGAGCTGTTCGTATTTTGGATCTGGCTCGAAACTGGTCGGAAATTTTCAAAAGATTTTTACGTGAGCGTGTACAAAAATGTTGGATCTACCACCGTGATCAATGGCAAGTTTTTCCGATCAAAACCGGCCAAGAAATAGCAAAAAAAAGACAAAAATGTCAAGGAGTGTCTGTAATTACCCCGAAGTACTCTACATATTCATTTTAATTTGTTTCAGGCAATAGTAAATACAATAATGATGCTTGCTTTTTCTTTCATGCAGAATAAAAATGTAAATGTGTTTTATAGGTATTTATCGAAAAGAAGGATAAATTCCACATATTGAGAGTAAGCGGCATTAAAAGTTCTCTATTTCTGCAGCAGATTTATATTCTAGCAACAGAAAGCTCTTGAAAAATAATAAGTC